TCATTGTATTCTGTTTTTATTTACGATTTACACAACGTGCCAACTTTTCTGGTTTTGGGGTTTGTAGAAAAGGAGTTATTTTAAAACACTACAGATATTCAACAAAGAACCAATGTAAGATTTGCTTTACCKGATACCTCATTTCAGAAATGTTATATTTTTACCATCAAAGCATTACAATAAAGTTTTTAATAAGCACTAGGGGAAAATGGTTTCCTGCCATAACATTTGGCTTATTTTGATGAAAGTCATGACATCTTATTTATGTTGACATATTTGCAGTAAACCTTTATGCAACCTGGCTACCACGTGCCTTTTTTAAAACACACACTTGTACCCTGAAGTACAAAACCAGACCTTTTAATTGATTTCAAATGGTTGCTCTTATTTTGTTCAGGTAAAAATGCTCTTCATCTGGCTGCTAGAAATGGACATTCGTTGTGCGTGCAGAAACTGCTGCAGGTAAGGTGCACCATTTGGYTCATTCTAGAAAAACATGCCGTTTGTTATTATCCTTTTATTGTTTTATTTGTTGCAGTCCATCAGAGAGGTGTGTCTTTRAGCCTCTTTAAATAATTATTGCCGGAGACCTCTGGCTGCTGGTCCCACTCCATATTTGTAAGGAGTGAGCTCCACTGAGTCACCGTGCCCCTCAGGGGAGTTATGTGTTTACAGCGAGAGGGCTTTTGCTTGAATATTGTGCTCTCATTATGTTCTACACCCCCCGCCCCCCCACTCGCGCCCCCATCTCTCACATGGCAATGACCTAATGGAGYTTGTGGCTGTTGGCAGCAGATTGTCAGTGGTGTTGACAGGCTTGCCCTCCTACAAACCCCTCGTCCATTCTTAGTGCCGTCATCACAGCCCGGTGCCAACACTCACTGCCCCCCGCTATCTCGCTTCGTCAGCCCAAACCCTCTTGATATAGGATACCCCCTTCATCTTTTTGCTCAAKCGTCAGGTCCCATTGCAACAACCCTCCTACCCCCTCTCGCCCCACTGCAGTGCCATTTGAGTGTGCGGACAAATTTTGCCCCTTGTTGCTGGAGAGAGGGGAGTTTTTATAGTGGGCGGGCAAAGCTGGTTGGCAAGCTTACCCAGCAACATCAGGCCCCTGTTAGCATTGAGTCCTCAAAGCTTTGATTGCAGGCCCTCGTCACCACGGCCGCTGGTGTCCAACCAGCTGAGTGGMAGTGTAGAGATGTCAGCAACATTTCAGCACAGCACCACTCTGTCTGATACCATCAGCCTGCTGTTAGACTCCTCAGGTTCCTCTTCTAACCAGACAGCATTTTCCTATTAATTAATCTTACTTGAGTCATAAGAGTTTTGTGTTGTGATCTCATCATGTTATTGATTTTATCTGTTCAATGTTTTAAACTCAGGAGATATATTCAAACTGTTAGAGGCCTTCACAGCGTCAGGATAACGTGGCTCGATACTTATGTGTTTTTCCTGGCATTTTTTCCACTTWGAGAAAATTAAGAAAAGCCTGTTTTTGTTTGCTGTTTCGTAGCACAACTGTCCTGTTGGAAATGTGGACCTACAAGGACGCAGTGCTCTGCACGATGCTGGTGAGAAACACGTTACTGCTGGCTCAGCTCCACTTTGATGTAGTTTTAACATAAATTCACATCACTCCAGTGCAGTCTGGATCTGCTGATTCAGTTCTAGTTACTGATTTTAGTTCAGACTTAAGTTCTCACCATTGTGGTGATTTGACTMCTGTACTTWATTTTACTCTAAAGCTGACACATCAAACCAACACTAACTTCACTGCATTATACAMCGTTATACAGACTGTTGACTGGATTCTGTTTTGGTACTGGCTGATTACTGATTATCCCTTGCTGCTGGATAACGAAACGCAGGCGATGTATTTGCCTGTGTTTTATATGTCTCGTAGTAAAATATCTCACAAACCACTGAACAGATTTTAATGACACCCAGTGTAATCTATGATTGTACATCTACAACCGATTAGCTCTTAATGTCAACCTGATTCAAGATGGCCCCCACATTTGATTGGTGTTAGCCAACACAAAAATGGGTATAACTTAGTCAATTTTACTACTGTTGAGCTAAATGTAGTATTAGTTAGGAGGGCTAACAAATTTCACAAGGTTCTTTACTTTAATTTACATTATTTATTAAAATAAAATGTTTTTAGTTTAAATTTTCTGCTTGAAGGATTGCAGGAGATACCGTTTCCTGACATCAGCTGTATTTCTAAAGTTACTAGGATTCTTTTTTTGTCAATTTTTCTTTTAAATTTAGTCTTCCCATTGTTTCAAGAAACTCAGAGCTGAGTGGTTGTACTTGTATTTTTACTGGTAAGAGGTCAAATAAAAGTCGTCTCCTTTTTATCGTCTTTCTCCTCCACAGTCATGGCGGGCTGCTCCTCCAGTGTGAAACTCCTTTGTGACAGCGGGGCTTCTGTGAATGCCTGTGACTTTGTGAGCATTGTTTTACGTATTGATTCTGTAAATCCTGAGACCTATTCTTTTTTCCTTGGGGTAATTTTGTGTAAAAAGGTAAACCACCCAGTTTGCTCTGCGAGTTCTGTTGCCTTCTTATTGTAAATCCTTTTCTGCATAAAGTGAAGTCAGTCAGAGCAGCACCAAGGGTTTTTACAACATATTAAAACTTGTTTTAAACTTGATAAGCACTCTCTATGTCCAAATTTCCTTTTGACCTGTTGAGAGGTTAAATACTTCTTTGGATGAGACTTTGTGTAYATATTTCTTCATGTGTGTGTATTTTTTTGTTCAATAGGATGGCAGGACTCCTCTAACCCTGGCTACCCAGTTATCTCATTCTCATATTTGTGAGCTGCTGCTCGAGCGAGGAGCTGATATCTCTGTCCGAGATAAACAAAACAAGTAAGGGCCTGCACCCCGCAGGGTATTTGTCTTCAGTCAGACTGTCACACCACCCATTGATCATTTGAAATCCAGGTTGCTTCCAAAAAAACAGCTTTTGACAAACTGCTGTAGTTAACAATATAAGCTGGACCTCTTTCAGGTGAACCTTTCTGTGGTAGTGAAACATGACGTCACAACAACGGTGCAGAGTAAATAAGACTGGCATGGTTTCTTACATTTGTTTCACATTTATTTCAAAAACGAGGTCCCACATATTTCAACTGGAGGCGTGCAATGCAGCATCACTGCCGTCCTGGTAGGCAAGTGTTAAACAACAATGACTTTAAAACAAACTATATCTTTGTGTGTACTGTGAATGACACAGCCACTGTTCTAATGCTATATTCCTACTTTCTTCTTTCTTTCTTTAAGTTTCTTTTTAAAGAAAATTACAATTGTATAGATAACCGTTAATATACCAGCATTTGATGCGGTAGTTGTTTTCCAGCATTAGATATCGGACCTGTGCAGAGTAAGGGTTGGCATGACTAGGAGGTTTAGCACATAACTGTAGCATAGTTAGCTACAGTAGAAACCCTCTAAATCATGAACTGCATAGTTCTAACACATATAGATGTTTTAAAAGGCTTATCTTTGGAGTTTATGTTCTCCAGCTGATTTTCTACAGTCAGCTCCTCAGATTTTTTCAGTGTAATGAAAACTACACTTTGCTGAACTGTGTGAATGTTTAGAACATCCTTTAACCCAACATAAAACAATCATTATAATTAAAATTAAAAAGTCATTGATTGTCAAATGTTTTTGGAGACTTGCCATCAAAATCTACTTTTTTAGCCGTTACATACATTTTGTTGTGTATTTGGTGTCTCTGAGTGCAGAAAAGTTCAATGTAGTTTCTCCTGATTCTGTGATATCTTTATATTCTGTTTGTTGATATTTTTAACTCGTTCAATTTTTAGTCATCCCTTGTTGATATATTTTAATTAATTTGTAAATAAAACTTTTCTGCACTGCAAGATAGTCGTAAACCCATCTATCAAACTAGAATAGACCGGTCTGGAAGCTGGAAGTGGGTGGGGTGTGAAGCGCCTCGTTTGGATTTAAAGAGACAGCCTCAAAACGAGTTGATCTGACCTCGGAAAAAGGGTGAAAGAGGAGCTTGTATAGTTATAATAAGGAGGAATTCAGACTAAAGCATTGCTTTTTCATTTTATGTAGACCCCGACTGAATGATTTAAATGTGAAAAAGAAGGATTTAAAAGCAAGGCATGTTTAATTTAAGCTAATGGTTGCTTATTCAGTTGGCGGTTAGCCACAAAGTTCCCAGATGTGTGACGTCACATGAGAAATATGCATAACATTTTAAATGCATTGACATAATGTAAAGCTTAGTTAAACTATAAGGTAAAAGATAAGAAAAAAAAAACACCACAGATAATTAAAAGCAGTGAGATAAATCAATATCACCAAACCTTATTTATTGCTATATGCATATATTTAGCAGCTGTGATTTACTCTACCAGCTATCACGAAGCTAGTTAGCACATCCTCTAACTCAGAAACCATCTTTGTCGACTCWCTCAGGACGACACTGATTTTAGGCTGTGAGACCGGCTGCAAGGACGCTGTTGAGGTGCTGCTGAAGAACGGTGCTGATGTGAAAGCAGTGGACAGCCTGGGTCACGATGCATATCACTACGCTCGTCAAAACAAGAACCCCGAGCTCACCGCGTTAGTCAAAAGTTACCTTGATAAGGCTAACAGAGGTAAAAACATGAGGGTGCTTTAATGACAAAAAAGTATCAGAATCACTGTCTGATTATTTTTTAATTTGTGGATTTTTTGTTTTACAGAAAAAGAAGCTGCAAAGGTAGATCAGTGGAAGCGACAGGTAGTTTTATTATTCATACTTAACAGAACTTAATGTACTTTTATCAGGCTACAAACAAATGCATAAGCTGAAATTGACTCTCTTTTGTTCACCTCAGCTTTTATTTATATCATTTAAAAGAAAATCTGCTACATTTAATTTATTTTCTTGTCTTGAAATGTGTTTTTGGATTGAAAACTGCTTATCCATAAACCATGACTGCCATCTAGTGGTTAGAATTGAGAAAGTTAAAAACAGTTTTATTGCTAAAGGCACAGCTTTCTATTTAAAACCTGGTTGTAAATGAAGATATTTTTATTCTTCAGCTTTCAGTGGAGAGATCAGATGCAGCTGAGGCCAACAGAAAGGATCAAATTATATACGTAAGTTCTTTATTTAACTGTACACGTTATTTCATAACATTCAAAGCTACAAATGYTCAATAAAGTGGTATGCACTAAGCAAATATCCATGGTGACAGTCATTGGTATCATTTTAAGTGTCCGTGTGTTTTTTTTTTTTTTAGGATCTAGAACGGCAGAATGAGAGCCTTCAGGGAAACATTAGGAAGTACCACCAGGAGCAGAAAGTTCTGCTGGATAAGGTCAACATCCTGCAGCAACAACTCACACAGGTGTGTCTGAGTTCTCACACAACCACTGGAAATACTACAGTCTTTTAAAATGACAGGAGTTTGAGCCAACATTATATTGTAATGAAATAGTTTTAGTTCTGTCAAATTAATATAAAAATGGTTAAAACGTGTTTTGTTATGCAAAGCTGAGACATGAAACTCTACATTCAGTGAATTCAGTTCCTTACATAGAAAATGAAATAACTTCAGCTGTTATCAAGGCCTCACTTTACTGAAAGTGGAATCCTTCTTTCACCTGCAGGAAAAAATGGCTGCCGATGTTTCACTAAAAGAGGTATAAAACAAGAGAAGTTGTTTTTGTTTGATGTGGGCACATGAATGTATGTTTTAGTTGAAGAGATTGGATTGTTGTGGTTTGACACAGTTGTGTCTTTTTTATTGGTCAGAAGGAGAAGCTGAAAGTGTTACTCAAAGAAAAAGAGGAAGGGGCTCGAGCAGCAGAGACGGTTAAAGTTCAGCTCCAGAGTACTTTGGTCAGTCATTTTAAACTAATCTACTCTTCAAGAAAGTTTGCATTTTAGACTTTTTGATTAGTAGTTCTGCTTAAAGTGTGCTTTTTAACTTGTACATTTTAGAACTAACCAGTTTGGTAAATTTGTGATTTTTAAAGTTAATAATAAAGAGAAGTTATTGCAGTATTTCTTTAATCTTACGATTTTTTTTAAATTTATGTTCACCTCATGTCTTTACAGGGGGAGTACTCTGGCCAGTCTGTTATCAAAGGTCATCCATTTTTATCTTATTGTTTCCAATTTAAAAAAAAAAAAAACAACTAATTTAATCTTACATGGAGATTTTTGTCCTGCAGGTAAAAATATTTTGGTAAAACAAGCTCACAGTCTGGATTCTGACAAGGTAATTTATCTTTTGCAGTTTTGATGTGAAATTAAAATTTCAAAACACAATTCCTAAATTGTGATTTTGTTAAAGAATACCTGAGTTACAAGTGTAAGTTAACAAAAGGACACGAGTCCAAAACTTTTAAATCAAGAAATGGACCAAAGCTGCATCTGCACATATTGGGCCTCATGCAAGAACATGTTCGTATTTTTATCCTAAATTTCTCTTACTTTTGTTCGTACAAAGGGTTCGTACGAACATGTCACGTCAGATTCAACAAACACTTCTATCTTCAGGAAACGTGCGTAAATGAGCTGGGGGGTCTGTGGGTCAGGGAGGGGTCTGTGGGTCAGGGAGGG